ATGTAGTACTATGATGAATTCAAGTGCGGTACTTACTCGAAAGGAGGATTGGAAGAAATAAAGGAGGAATGGTGTCAATTTATTCTTGAGGTGAGAATTGTATAAGGTATATGTATCATCCAATATTGATGCGGGATAATAATGTTTCTGGAAGTCGTATCTATTTGTAAAGTTAACTAATTTGTAATTATATGTAAATTGACTGTATTTGTGATGTTTTAATTCTGAGGATCAGATTGTGTTGTAATATATTTAAGCAGGTTTATGTGTATTAAAATGATTATGAGCAAAGTGATTAATTACAATGTATACTTAAAGGCCAAAGTGTTGAATTGTATATATAAGACCAAAGTGTTGAAATAAAGGCCTGAATTATAAGCAGGTTTGTCGAAAAATAGTGTGATTATTTAAAATTTTTTTTTTTTTTAAATTTGGGAGATTAGACAGCGCTTTTACAAAAAAAGCGCTGTTAAAGGTTACAAAGAGAGCGCTACAAAAGAGCTGCTATAGGTTGGGAAGGGGGGGGGGGGGGGTCTAAGACAGCGCTTTATAAAAGCGCTGCTAAAAGGGGGGGCTAAGAAAGCGCAAAAGTGCTGCTAAAGAGAGAGGGGGGGGGGGGGGGGTTCTAAGAAAGCGCTGCTAAAGGGGGGAGGGTAGGGGGGTTCTAAGAAAGCGCTGCTAAAGGGGGGAGGGTAGGGGGGAATAGGCAGCGCTTTAAAAGCGCTGCTAAAGGAGTTAAAAAGTGCTGCTAAATGTGCTGCTGAAGGGAGCCTTTAGCAGCACTTTTTCCATAAAAAAAAGCGTTGTCTTTACCTTTAGTAACGTCACTTTTGGCAGCATTTTAAGCGCTGCTAAAGGTAAATAAAAGTGTTGCTAAAGGTCTTTTTTGGCATAGTGATCATTTCAAACAAGCAAACTGCATTCGTTCCAAAAAGAAATATTTTGGACGGAATATTGATCCTAGTCAATGAAGTAATAGATGTTGCAAAAAGAGAGAAGAGAAATTGTTTAATTTTAATGATTGATTACGAAAAAGTTTACGATAGTGTAAGTTAGAATTATCTAAGGTTCTTATTTCAAAAGAATAATAATTGAGTGTCAATTCAACCTACATATTAAGAAGATTATGGAATCTAAGGTATATACTTTTTAAACTACTAATAGTAATAGTTATGAAGCATGTTTATTTTGTGAATCTTTACATCAATAACACACTTTTAAAAACATTTCTATATATTAAAAAATAATATTTAAAATATCATACTTTTAGTTTTTTTAAAATAAAACAATGGATTTCAACACTGAATTTAAATCCAGTGTCGATATTTTTTGTTTTTATTTTTTATCATTTATCTATGGAATTTTGAATGAATACTAATAAATCTTTCATAGAAACAAATTACTTATAATTTTTCCTACAAAAAGTTTTTCAAAATAAAGAATTGTAAGATTCAAGTAACAAAACTCACAGAATAATTCACAAGTAATGTGTTTTTTATATAAAAGATATTAAAATTCACAAGAAATTTTTCAGATAAACAAAAAAACCAACAAAAAAAAATCATAAAAATATCGAATATGCTAGTGGCAAAACCCTCTTATTTTAATAAAAAGAATTAAAAATATGATATTTTGGACATTAGTTTTCAAAAGCGTAACATGGTGTAAAAGATTCTTTTTATTATGTTGATATAAAAGCATGATTGATTTTACATATGCAAATGCTCAACAATTATCTTGAAAACATTAAAGGTGATTGACAACGTTAAAAGAATGTAGTGGCTTAGATAAGTACATTAAAATTGTGTCTTTTAAGATTGGTGTGATTGTAATTTTGCATTGTTTTCAAGATTTATATCTTTACTGTTTTGTAATGGACTATGAATATGCCTTATAGTCTAATCAATAAAACTTTTGCTTGTAAAAAAACACAGGCCACTCATGAACTTTTGGCATGATTAAATCATAATATGTGTTTATCCAGATAAATATTTCCCTTTTTACTTTTCTATTTATAGTTGTATACAAATTAGATACTTGTTTTTTTCTTAATAAGTTTACATGATTACATCACATTAATAGTCAAATCTTATCGCATTAGTATGATGGATTACATTATAGTCTTTTGACAAACACATATTAGTTAAGTTATTCCACCATCCTTTAAAATATTTTATTAAAAATATATTTTTATTCAATTCGTTAATTTTAAAATTTTTCAAAATAATTTTTTTAATTTTTTTTGATATTTTCATTTCTTTATTTATTTGATTACTCTTCATATGATATACACTCCTTAGTATATATTTCACATGTTTAGTTTTTATACGAGCATACTAGCTAAATCTATTTTTACAATCTTTTTTTATTATGGAAGCTATCCAAGTTTTTGACAGAGAAAAAAAACATCAACGATGAATGAGGTTCGAGATCAAGATGTGAAGTGGGGGAAGGTGGAAAACATAATCAATAGAGACAAGGGGGATGGGTGGAGGTTTAACACAGAAAAACACTTATGGAGGTGAAGAGAAACTTGGTGTAGACTGCAAGAAGAGGAAAAGACATTGGGGAGGGAGAATCATTATATTCATTCTTCATGGAATTTTCGGATTCATTTGATGCTAAGATATGTTTGAGGTGTTCAAGGAATATATGGATTAGTGATGGAAGTATTTATACCATCGAGGAGAGATAAGCGTGGCAAAAGATATGAATTTGTTCATTTTAGGAAAGTGATGAATGAAAGAATTATGGCGGTGAAGCTTGACAACATTCACATTAAAGGAAAGAATATATATGCTAATATTCCTAGGTTTCAGCGTGGGGTAAATGCATAGAACAATCAAGATAAAATGGGGGAGATGGTAGGAAGCGAACGAGGGATGCAACCAGAAAAGCGTGCGTGGAACTCTAGTAAACCTGGTTTGACGTATGCTCAGGCGATTGGCAATAAAAATTCAGGAGTCCAAGTTAGGGCTAATGATGATAAGTTGTATGAGTGTGATAATAATCTAATGAGGGTATAATCGTAGGCAAAATCGAAGTTTGTGCATCTTCAATTCAATATTAAAAAGAAATATATGGCTAGGTTTGACAAAGTGTTTATTGGGGCTGTGAAAAAATCAGGGATAACTTATAATATTTAGGAAGCATTACATGCAGAAGGGTACTTTTGTATCAAATCTACTCCAATGTGTGCAAATATATGCCTACTAGAGGAGACTGAGGAAGGTGGCATATGTGCATTGATAAATAAGGTTAAAACTTGGACTTCTAAATGGTTTTCTGACATTCATCCTTTGTCGCCAGAGGATAATGATAATAAGAGGCTCACATGGTTAAGATGTTATGGACTACCGTGTCATGCATGGTGCCCATAATTTTTTAAATTCCTATATGGATTGGTCGAGGAGTTTGTGTCTTGTGACGAGGAAACCGATAAACTGAAGAAGTTGGATGCGGCCAAATTTCTGATAAAAACCAAGTATTCTATGAATTCGAATGAAATATTTAATGTTCATATTAATAGCAGAGTTTATAGAATCAAATTGGTTGAAGACATGCATGACCCAAAGATAATCGTGGTGCCTAAGGCATATATGAAGGTGAGTGAGACAGAGGATATGGATTCAAATCGGGAGGACGAAGCGTGAGATACTTCTGATGAGGAAGAAGACGGTGAGATTAAGGATGGAAAATTTTAAAGTTCCTAGAAATCTAATCATGATAGTGATGATCCCCGTAATTTGGAAAAAGGCGATTCGGTGGAAAACTTCAACAACTTGAGACACGTGGGTGAAGGCGTGGAATTGAGGGAGGATGACCTTGGTAGACTAGACGTGTCTGGTGACAAGTGGATTATTGAAATAGATGATATAGACAAAAGAACCAATAATATAGAAGGTGGATCAGAACTGTTAGAAGCAGTTAATTATGGTAACTCATAGATGGAATAGGGAACTGTTGTTATCATGAAACAACCTCGGGTTAATGCAACTTTTGAAGTGGCATGTAATTCATTGTTGGAATGATGCATTAATCCACTTTTAGTGGTGGGCCTGGACATACTTGTATATGACCCAATTTCATGTTCTCCTATTGGGCCGGATATGCCCATTGCAAGGTCCAAACTGAGGAAGAAGAAACGTATCAATGAAATATAAGAAAACATAAAAATTCCCTTCTCTCCATCGTATTTCTCTTCTCTCATCCATTCAATCAACAAGAAAATTCTGTCTCATGAGGTGGAAGATTCAATATTGAAATATTCAGAGGGTTCCATCTTATGCTATGAACCTATCAACAATTCGGATATCAACCAGGACAATTCGCGCATTAGAAGATCAATTGAGGATTTTCCAGCTAATGTTTGGCAAACAATAAAAGATTTGGGAATTAAAGGTGAAGAGGATGACGAGTTATTTGAAGGGATTATCAGAGATATGGAAGCTAGATATAGAAAAACATTTAAAGATAAGAGGGTGGCAGTTATTAGGCTTCCATGATTATTGTTAGTTTTAATATTCGAGGGTGTGGAAATTCAATAAAAAGAAGAAAGATCCTATCAAATGGTAAAGCCAACATTTATTTATCCAGGAATCAAAGAATATAAAAATTAGGGATAAGTTGGTACATAGTATGTAGGGTAATGAGGAATGTGATTGGTCTGCTGTAGATGCCATTGGTCAATCTGGAGGAATCTTAACAATTTGGAGGAAGGAAGCTCTATGTTTGGTATCCAGTTTTAGGGGAAAAGGATTTCTAGGGATTAATGTCTTATGGAAAGGGTTGAATTGTTACTTTGTTAATGTGTATTCATCATGTAGCATAGTGGAAAAATAGAAGATGTGGTCTAAACTCATTGAATGGAAGAGTAAGGTACCAACTTGTGAGTGGTTAGTGGAAGGAGATTTCAATGCCATTAAGTTAGAGGAGGAAGTGGGGTTAGGGGTTGGACCTATTCTGGTGAGATGGAAGAGTTTTCCACCTTCATTGATGTCATGGAATTTGTTGGTATGCATGTCGTGGGTAATAGGTTTACTTGGTTCAAATCCAATGGTAGTTGTAAAAGCAACCTTGACAAATTGATACTAACTGAGGAGTTGATCAATAAATGGAACATTGTTGTACAACATGTGAGGGATAGGGATATTTCGGATCACATACCAATGTGGATCAAAGCTAATAATGTGAATTGTGCTCCTAAATCATTCAAGGTATTCAATTGTTGGTATGATCACCCTGAGTTTCTTGAGTTTGCGAAGAATGAATGGAATTCAATTCAGGTCGATGGCAGTGTTGCTCATATTTTAAAAGAGAAATTCAAAGTCTTAAGGACAAGATTGAGGTGGTGAAACAAGAAGGTGTTTTGATGGGTGCATCTGAGAGTAGAAGAAGGGGAAGATATTATAAATGGTATATATTGAAGCTGACATGGTGAGGAATAATTGTAAAACTTTAGAAGATGTTTTGTTTAAGAGGATTATGGCTCAAGAGGAGATTTTGAACATCCTACATCTGAAAGAAACCATCCTTAAACAAAAGTCAAGAATGAAATGGGTGAAGGAGGGGGAATTTAATTCTAGATACTTTCATTCTATGCTCAAATGTAGAATTAGAAGAAATGTAATTACATCTATTAAATTAGGTTCTGAAGTAGTGGAAGAAATTGGTTCTATTAAGGAGGCTCACTACAAGAAAAACAATGGATTGCGACGGTTATTTTGGCAGGTTACAACGGTTAAAACCACCATTAATTACATTCTACGACGGTCGTAGTACCGTTGCAGAAACGTGTGTCCCCAGGCTGTTTAGCGAAGGTTGCCAAAACCGCCACACCAACTGTCGTTATATTTCACGACGGGCTGGAACTGACCTAAACTAGAGATGGCGACGGTTAAAGACTGTCGTTACTAGCCTTTTGATTTTTGTTTTCATTGTTGATTGTGACGGTTTAAAACTGTCGTGAATTCTATTTCACGACTGGTTGGAACTGACATAAACTGGAAATGGCAACAGTTAAATACTGTCATGAATATCCTTTTGATTTTTGTTACCATTGTTGATTGTGACGGTTTAAAATTGTCGTGAATATGATATCTTGACGGTTCAAATCGTCGTAATTTGATTTATAAAATTTTAAATATGATTTATTTGGTAACGGTTTAAAGCGCAACTAATTATTTAATTTTTACATTTAGGAACAATTTAAATCATTATTAATTTGTATGTATTGTATTATATTGTTTTATAATATATTCTTTTATTTAAATTATTATCTACTAAAATAGTTATATTATTTTTTCTTTAAATTATTTATACAATAATATTTTTATTTGTAGTATTATTTTTTAATTTTATTTTCTATCGCTTTTTAACGTAGTAAAATTAATTCCAAAATTAAATATCAAATAAGCATTATAATATAAAAAAGAACGCCAGTTTCATAATCATGTAAAATGAAAGTTCTATAATCATGTCATGTAATACAAAAAACCGAAAACATATCAAATCATAATCTTATAACAATAAGTATCATTATGCCAAAAATAAATAAGGTTTATAATCTAGAAAGTATGTCATTATGGAAATCGGTAGCTAGACTCAGATGAACGTCTACCATCAGCGGGTGATTCCAATCCCTGGAAAAAAATTGTATTAAAATAATACTCTTAAGCTTTAACTTTAAATTCATCAAAATAATATACTTGTCTTCCACTAGAATTTTTCATTTGCATTAAGAGTTCAATTTCCTCTTTCATAACATTGTCTCTTTGCGTCGACCTATAGGACGTATGTGTTAACTTGAAAGACATATGCATCGACCTGAAATGCTTATGTGTTGACACATACTGAACATAAATTTTGGTTTTACAAAATCATTAGTATGAGTCCAAACAAATTATATCTTTCGTGAACAAAGAGAACCCAGCAATCACTTACAGCAGCAATTGAAGGAATATCAGTCTTCCTTGGAGATCCATATGACACATCCATTCCTAGAATGAGAGTAGGTGCTTTGGAAACAATAAGAAGAGATGGAGAACTTTCAACACTCAGCAATGAGTTTAACCCACCAAGCTGCAGGAGAATGATTGAATTAAATGGATAAAACATTCTATGATATAATTAAGAAAGTAATAAAAATCAAGCACGTGGGAAAATATACAAAAGAGTTCAGAAATGGTAGTGGTACTAACTACGTGTAGAAATTAACCATTCAGCTTTTTACCATAATACTAAACCTAAACTACATACCTTGGCATTGATCTTCAATATGATATTACCCAAATACTGATCATTGACTCTTATGGGACACATGCACTGATTGACGATTCCATAATCAGCAAGATTCTTCTTTTCCCATGGGCCTTCAATGTCACAATATTTTCATCTAGTATACTATAAAGTTACTAAAAGCATAAAAATAAGGTATAATAACATCAATACACTAACCATAAATATCACTGTTTTTTCTATCAGGAAGCAAACAGAGAAGGAATTGAGGAGCCCCGGGAAGTTTAGACTAAATAATCTCAAACATCTTCTTCACTCTAACCATTGGTGGGGCACGCCTAAACTGGGGATTTTCTTCAAACACGTCAAATGGTTGGTCAATCATCTGCAAAGGTTTAAGGACAAAAACAATTCAATTATGCTAGCACATTCATACTCCAGTTAATAATATGCACAGCTGCAAAACTTACAATTTCTTTAGTATTTCCAATTCTAATTAGATCCCTTACAACTGCCTGTACATCACATCGTGCAGAAAAGTTTGCCACAACCCATTTCTCTATCTTTGTTGGCTGTACAAATTTCTGGAGAGAAACATGCAAGTTACTTTAAGAACTTAGAATGCGAGTCAATATTGTCAATAGCAGGATCATGTAAAAGATTATCTAATATGAGGTAAGTAAAAACCACCTTATTGTTAAAATTCCACCTTCCATTTCTTTGACTGAAATCTTCACCATTGCCAAATTTCAACTAATGAAAATAATTCAATAGTCAAATTCAAAGCATAACACATAATACTAATGAAACCCAAACAAGCACTGCCATGATCAATATCAACTACATTAATTAAAACTATACCCTTGGAGCAGGCAAAACACGTCCTTCCATTTGAGTAAAGCATGTGCTTGTAGTAATTCCACAACTTTGAAGCAGAGGCTCAACACCATAGTTGCTAGTTTTAAGTGCCTACAATAAAAGAACCCTTAAGACGCAACATATAGATGACATGACAATATCATTCGAAACTAAGCAAAACAATGTACATCAGATAAAATTCTCATCCTCTCTTGTGGCTTATGTCTGGACTTTTCTACTAACGAAGCCCTTTGAAGTGTGGATAAAGCTTTAGTATATCGTTGCAATGACACCAATTCACACAGCTAAAGGCACAAACATGAATAAAGGGAGAGTTAATAACCAAACACGCAATTTAAACCACTAAAAAAATGCAATATTTATCAAATGGAAAAACTGAAATTCACCTCAATGGGTATATAAGTTGGCCGTTTAGGCCTACCAATATTAATGCATGGCAGATCTATCTTACGGACATTAACAAAATAATCCAAAACAGTCATTTCTTCAGTACCATCCCCATCCCTTTTTTTCAAAGTAAAGCTGCCAAAATGTGATTCATATAAAAAAAATTAACTCATTATGCAAAACAACTCCGCAATACATTACAACACATACATAAGGTCAACAATATGCCTTCCTCAGCTAAAGAAATTTAACAAAATTAAATGGAAAGAAAAGAAATACGTAAGCTCTTCGCATGGAACGTCACTGAGTCCACAAATTTTCCTCTCTTGATTGAATGGATGAGTTTTGACCCTCAGATTATTTTAGTGTCCTTTTAGCCTGATTAAGGAACCAAGTAAAAGATCAGACATGATCAATCAATGATGATAAACAATATGAAGCAAGTAGTCGTACCTTTGCCCAATCAAGTTGAAATGGATCTCTTGCATTTTGATTGGAAATTAAGAAATCCACCACAGGCCTAAGTTGAATTATCATGGTGGTTATGACATCTAGATTATTTGGAAGATTGAGGAAAGTCAGACAATTTCAAATCCTGGATGGGAACCGGAGCTTTAACACCAAAAAAATAAAGATTGGTTGCATATGAGATAAAGATTTAACCTATGTTAAGGGAGAGACCACTCTGAGTAGCTCTAAAACTTGAATGGAATCCCCTGCAGCCTATAACACCACCCCCACATTAGCAAAACTCTTAGGATCATTATGAAAAAAGTTTTGACGCACAAGTAGGCAGCCCCTATAGTAGCAATGCAAAGTAAGAAATATTGAAATGTAATAATGCAATATGCATAAACAAAAATGAAGATATCATACAAGGAAAAACTACTTACTGCTTAGCAGCATGTTGCCTCAAAATGATATCAAGTACTTTAATGCTCTTTGTGATATTGAAAATGCCAAAGAGTTTCTTGAAGCTGTTGGTAAGAAAATCACTTCTGTCTCTGCTCAGATTATTACACTCCCACTTGGGAAACTTATGGCTGCAACACTTCCCACAAAACCAATTCAAGTCCCTTTCACAGATTTGTCTTTTTCGTTGAATCCGGGGTCATTCTCTTTGAAGGAACACACGTTGATAACTATCTTTTCTAGCTCAGGATCTAGTGGTGTTTATGCTATCAACATCATCACAATTGTAAAGGCTTTCTATCACAGAAGTATCAATCCATTAGCAGCGTATATGAGCGATATCGACTAAGATGTTAGGGTATGGATGGGCTAGAATTTTCAGAAGGTTCCTTGTCGATTCGCCTTACATGTGGTGGCCTGAAAACCTTGTGCAAGTGTCTCTATTTAGAGCATTTCATGAAAAATTAAAAAGGCCTAAAGGAGGAACTTCTAGGCTGCAATTCTTTTTCATAGTCTTTGTAGCTAGCTTTGCATATTATATTGTCCCAGGCTATTTTTTCCAAGCAATATCGACCATGCCTTTTGTTTGCTTGATTTGGAAAAATTCCATTACTGCGCAACAGATCGGATCGGACATGAAAGGCCTTGGCGTTGGTTCATTTGGCCTGGACTGGAACACGGTTACTGGCCTCATAGGTAGTCCTTTGGTTGTTCGTGGCTTTGCCATCATCAACATAATGGCTGGATTCTTATTGTATATGTATGTTTTAATTCCAATTTCCTATTGGAACAATTTATACGATGCTCAAAAATTTCCTATCATTATCTCTCACACATTTGATTCTACCGGCGCAACTTACAACATTACTCAGATCCTCTATACCATAATTTGCAACCGTAACCCTTCAGCATCAAGAAACTCGACATAACACGTCCACAC